TTTAAATTTAAAAGAAAGAAGAGAAAATGTTGGAGATTCTACAAAGTAAATGTTGGAAATTCTACATACAGGATAGAAGTCAGTGATAGGTCACTGTAGTTTAAAGGGTCACGAATAAACACCAGCTCTCTAATGGTCTTTCTACTGTACCTGTTTAAAATTAACAGAATAGGGGAGCCTGGTTGGCTCAGTTGGTTGAGTGTCCAGCTTTGGTCAGGTCATGATCTCACAGTTCATGAGATCGAGCCCTGCATCAGGATTGCTGCTGTCAGCGTGGATCCTGCTTGAGATTCTCTGTCCCCCCCCCCCCACCTCTGCCCTCCCCCTGCTCTTGCTGTCTCAAAAATATATAAAACAAACCAAAAAAAGGTAACAGAATAAAAAAAAAACAAGAAAGAATATAAATAAATACAACAAAATAAGAAAATAAAAAATTGGAAAATTCAATTCCATAATTGACAGTATGGTAAACTATACACCCAGTTTCAAGCTCACTGCAAAAAAATTTAAACATCTGGATAGTTTTTTAATCCTCCCAACTTTTTATATGCATCCAGGTATCCTAACAAGAAAGTTATGGGAAATTATCCAAGACCAAAATGGAGAAAAAGGCAAAAAGATAACTACTATAAGTGAAAAATCCCTGGACATTAGAGTAAGAAGATCTATCTTATATCTAATCAGAGTTTCAAGCTGGACTCGGTAAGGCAATCTTCCTAGAGATGCAGGCCGAAAGTTTTCAGGACCGATGAAAGATAAGAACATTCAGACTAAGATTCCCAAACCCCAAGCCGGATAAATTAGACTTCCACACCCAGACACATCACACTGTGTTTACAGAAGAGCAAAGAAAAGAAGACTGTAAAAGAAGCTGGAAAGAAAGGCAGATGAGATACGAAGCAATGGCGGTTTTACAAACAGCTGAATTCTCAACAACAATGGGACTGGCCAAAGATGGCAGAATCACACCTTCAAAATCTGAGAAGAAAACCTAGTATTGAGTACCCAAGAAAATAAATTCTCACTTAGGAGAAAAGGGATGAAATAAGTCTTTTCAAACAAAAATAATTTGCTACTAAAGACTCAGTTGAAGGACTCTAAAGTCTTTATGTCACACACACAAAAGAAACTGAATTTAGTAAGAAAATGCAATGTAGGAAAATAAAGTGGTAAATGTATGAATGAATCAAAATAAATACTGACTGCAGAAATGGCATTAAAATAATATCTAATTTGGGAGAACAATTTTCAAAAAATAAATATCCTGGGAAATATATAAGTTCAGGAAATTGTATTTAAAGTTTTCCAGTCCTTATATTATTTTAGAAAAGGCTAAAGATAATAACTTTGTATTCTGTTGCAGACAGTTATGCTACTCTTCAATATTTATGATTCTCCTCTCCTGTGGGGAATGTTGGGGGCCCGTATGTACCTCCTTGCCTACTGGAAGTTAGCCTTGGCCATGAAACTAGCTTTGATCAATGAAATATGAACAGAAGTGTCACTTCCAAGAAGAATTTAAGAGTTGGTTTGAGGGGCGCCTGGGTGGCTCAGTCGGTTAAGTGTCTGACTCCGGCTCAGGTCATGATCTCACAGTTCATGGGTTCGAGCCCCGCGTCGGGTTCTGTGCTGACAGCTGACTCAGAGCCTGGAGCCTGTTTCAGATTCTCTATCTCCCTCTCTCTCTGACCCTCCCCTGCTCACACTCGCTCCTTTTCTCTCTCTCTCTCTCTCTCTCAGAAATAAACAAAACATTTAAAAAAAAAAAACTTAAAAAAAAAAAAGAGTTGGTTTGAGTATCCATTCTCTTTTCCCTTTGCTGTTGTGACCAGCGACTAGTACTATTCCTGTTGAACCCTCTTCAACAGCCTGTAACCCAGAGTGCAAATGATATCTTGGTTCTTTCTAAAAATTAGAGGTTGTTCACACAACAACATACTTTATCCCAATGGCAACAAGCATTGGTACTGAAAGTAGTGGGGGGAGTGCATATTGAAGGTAAGAGTAATGCCAAAATCTTTAGTAGAAAGTCATCTGCCCTACATTGGGAGACAGAGCATGTACCTAATAAAGTTACATGTGGCTCTAAAGGAAGAAGCTGGAAAACAAACTTTACAAGTGAGTGTTGGTAACTGACAGCATTTGACCATTTCCTTAGTTCAGAAGAATTTGTATGTTTACAAACAGGAATCAAAGGGAGTAGAGAGAATATGAAAATTCAGGGACATTCAGAGATGGAAAAGAAAACTTCCTCACCATCCCAAATGTCAAAGCCAAATGCAAGAAAATATTTGAGCAACAAAGGCTAATTATACCTCAGCCTTGAGGCAAAAATCAAAATAAAGGAATGCTCATTGTAACTATGAAAACCACTGTGTGGATGAGGAACTTCAACTTGGCAAAAAGCCAATTAAGGGTGTCATATCCAGCAAAGTATTCACTGAGAGAAAATAACTCAGAGTAAATAGCTAAAGTATGTGTTCTTCCCAGTGACACTGAGTAGACTCAAGTTACCTGATATTAAAGGGGGTAGAGATGTAGGGATCTATGTGTCAGAAAAGAGAAACAGAACACTCTAAGAGAGCACATTTATTATAAAGAACTGCAGATATGGATACTGGTGCATACAGCTGATTGAAATCAAGCAGACAGCAAGTCTATTAAGTTTGGGGAGTTTTCTTCCCAGAGGAAGCAAGGCAACAAAAGGCAGAGAAAACTGCATGGCCCATAAGGAGGTTCTACTGCCTTCTATTTCAGATGGGGCCAAGGAGAATAATACAAAAGGAAGAACTTTCCAGAAGATAGAGTCAGGGCCACAATGGACAAAGGAAAAAGAAGCCCTTTCACTCTCTAGAGTAGGCTTAAACAGAGGCTATTTCCCACCCCAAAGATGGAGGGCCTTAACCATATGTGCCCACCAGAATTTCAAAAGTGCTACAGGACAGTGATTGCTATGTTTCACAGAGTTTTTCTTTTCTAAATGGAGGTGCTTTTCTATATATGCTTGTGCTTGTTTCATCATTATATACTGGGAGCATGTAACAAACCCAATTTTTCTTTTTGACTCAAAGGGCTTGTATCAAGAGCAAGAACTCAAGATCTGTTGTAGAAATTGCTGTGCATCCATCCTACCCTACAATTTAGAGGAAACCTGATCTGAAGCTAACCTTTATAACTATATGGGAATTTGGGGTGGCTCTCCTTTGAGGTGGGAGTAAGCTTAATCTATGCAGGACAGTAATCCAAATATTTGGTGAGCAGAAGGGCAAACTGTAGAGGGCAGACATTACATCTCCTCACCAGTATTTCAATTTTTCCTTTCCTTCTACTCACACGAGAGGATTGTATTTTCCAGGTCCCACTAATATGGGTGTGGTCATGTGACTTGTGTCCAATGAAATATGAGAAGTGATCCAAGGCAGATGTATTCAAGCACCTGCAAACTGTCCATTCTCTGATCTTGCTCCTACAACTAATGCTCCCAAACGGTCAATCTTCCATCAGCCTATAGTGCAGAGGGAGCATGGAAACCTTTACAGTTCTAAGCCACTAAGAACTTAGGATGGTTTATTCCCAGTGCATAATATAGTCTATCTTAGTGGATACTGGTATACAAGTTAAAATATAAAGAGAAACAAAAGAATATAGAATATAATTCCAAACTGTTAGGGGAGAACAGAATGAAAAATTAAAAATTAATCAAAAAGACTCAATAAAGAATAGTCCTCTACATTGAAATAAAATCATAGGAAAAGCTTACTACGTTGTCCTTCTCTTACTTTGCAATGGACCACTGAAAACCATCAATAACAGTCAATCAAGAAGAAAGTACAATCGAGGAAAAAAAAAAAAGGAATAGAGAGAGAGAGCAACAGAGGGCAGCAAGTAATACGGTGGAAATAATTTTAAATGTACAGTTGACCTTTAAATAACATAGGTCTGAACTGCATGTGTCCATTTATATTTCTTACAGTACAGTAAATGTATTTTCTCTTCCTTATGATTTTAAAAACATTTTTTTTCTCTAGCTTACTTTATTGTAAGACTATAGTATGTAATACATATAACATACAAACTGTGTATTCATGGACTGTTGATGTTATCGGTAAGGCTTCCAATCAACAAGAGACTGTTAGTAGTTAAGTTTTGGGGGAGTCAAAGTTCTAGCTGGATTTGTGACTGCATGGGGGGTCAGCACCCCAACCCATGTTGTTCAAGGGTCAACTGTATTAATCGGATCTTGTAAGGTTATCCTGCATTAAAAATCCCCGAATCTCAGTGATTTACAGAATCTGTCTAGAGATAAAGGTGATTCACTTATATAATGACAAAGGTTTCATCAGGAAAATATAACAATTCTAAACTTTATGCACTTAATAACATAGTCTCAAACTATACAGACAATTTCATTATCATACAGGAAGATTTTAACTAACTTCTTACAGTAAATTAAACAGACCAAAAAATAAGGATATAAAGAATTTGAGCACACAATTAACAAGTTTAATGGAAAGCATATAAATATATATATATAAATATAAATTATAAATATATATATATAAAGAGAGAGAGAGAGAAATACTGCACTCAATAGCTGCAGAATATATTCTTTCGAAGCACAAAATATTTATGACCATGCATAAAAATGTCAGTAAATTTTCAAAAATTAGTATCACACAGAACACTTACTTAACAACCATAAAATTAAGTTACAAACCAATAACAAACAGATGAGTAAAACTACTTCCATGTGTTTGGAGATTTAAAAATTTATTTGTGGCTCAAAAAACATTGTAATAGAAATCGGAAAATTCTCAGAACCAAATAATGAAGAATGTCATATTCAATATTTGCGAGATGCTGCTAATAACATCTTACTTCGGGAAAAATGGACAACTGTATATTCCTAAAGTACACACAAAAGGCTCAAAATGAATGAACTAAGCATTCCAACCTTAGACATTAGGGGTAAAATACAGAACTTTACAAAGCAGAAAAGACATAATCAACTGTTTTTATTACGAGAAATTACATAATTACATAAGAAATCCTGGGCCAAACGCACGCACTCAGCTGCCTGTTTTAGACCAATCAGCAGATCAACAATATCTTTTAAGGTCCAAACTCCTAACTGTGTAAGAGAAGGAAAAGGGGAAAATCTGTAAGGAATGTGGGGCAGCAGCAGAAGCCAACGGAAGAAGCAAAGCAAGACTGTGGTTTTAGCTGGGTCTAGCCTTAGCCCCAAATCCCTGAGAGCTCTTATGCACACACCACACCACCATCTTTCCCACCTTAGCAGGGGAGTGAGGTTTCTGTACCTCCATATCGGGCACTAGGCACTCACTGTTTACAGGCTGTGACAGGGATGAGTAATGCATAACTTCCAGACGCCTCCTGGTGATGTGGCTCCAATCTATCAAAGGCAAGCCTCCTGAAAACGTTGCAGGTGCCTTAGCAGCGTCGCATGCAGCAGTTGGAGGAGAATGAGCACACCAAGCCAACCCAGGACATCTGGACAGAGCGCCAACATTATCTGCTGTGCTCCACCCCTTGAACCTCTCAGGTCCACTTGCTTTACACATTAGGTTCACTCCATCCATTTGCAACTTCTCCAGGATTCTGGTGGATCACAATGTCTATGAAAACTTAAAAGAGAAGTTAGTGGGATAAACTATAGCCCCCACAGCTGCGGTTAGGCCTGAGGTCAGGACTGATAACGGTGATTGCCTTTCTTTGCTGCCCAGTCTACATTCCCCTCACCCTGTGCCAGCATTTCTGCTGGTCCAGGTGGCTTGCACGGGAAGGTCTTGTCACCTGAGGGGCTCTGAGACTTTGGTGACCATGCTGTTGTCTGTCCACAGTTAAGCTCTGCTTGCCAACTTACGGTGAAAACTGAGGTCTGGATTCCCAAGAGATACCCCAGTGGCTCACATGAGTGCTAAATACAATGTTCCCTGCTACCAGAATGTAGCAGCAACCCTGCCTCCTCATGAATATCAAAGTCAATTAGACCTGCAAGTATGGTAACTCTTCTCCTCTTGCTGGTCTTGCACAATGGGCGTAAAATGACCAATGGCAGCCAACGTCTTAAGTTTATTGCAACTATTAATGTTTCCCCCAGTGGAGGTGTTCCCTTTCCAGAAAACAGGACCTCTAGTTCTTCAATGAAGAGCCTAAAATTTCAGAAACTGGAAGCAAAAGTTTCCCAAGTGGCTTGCCAGAACAGAGTGACCCTTCCCCGCTCCTTGGTTCCCAGCAGTAACACAGGACCATACGGTCATCACTGACTTAAGGAGAAAATGGCAACCTTTTTCTTTAAAGTGCCAGGCAGTAGATATTTTAGACTTTGTGGACCATACAGTCTCTGACGTGGCTACTTAACTCTGCAGATGTAGCGTAACAGAAGCCACAGACAATATATAAATGATGAGTGTGGTTGTGTTCCGATAACATCATGTTTTTAAAACAGCAGCAAGCCCGATTTGGCCTTTGAACCAGTTTGCCAACCTCTGCTTTAATATATATATACTATACCCTGAAGGACTGCCTTTGTAAGATATCACCTCCAAACTGTTGCTTCGGCTGTGTTTCTTGGAGGCCATTCCACTGCTCTATCAGGCTGGCAGTTTACAGATGATGTGGGATGTAGTGGGACCAGTGAATCGCACAGATATGTACTCACTGCAGAACTTTTTTTCATATATTGAGTCCCTTGATCGGAAGTGACAGTATGTGGGAGATTCCACGTCAATAAATCAGACACTCTGTGAGTCCTTGAATAGAGGTGCTGACCAAGTTGATACAGACAGGAAAGGTAAACATACACTTGGAAAACATGTCAATCTTAGTCAGAACGAATTGCTTCCCTCTCCAGGATACAAGGGGTGTTATGTAATCACTAAGTGACTCCTCAAAGATCCGCGCACTAAAAGGGCTGACATCAGTCTCTGTGAACGACAGGTAGGGTGGAGGGAGGTCAGCTTTGAGGAGGGACGCCATGCTTCTGTGCCCATGCGGAGCCTTCATCTGTCCACATGACCCCTCCATGAAATGAATCCATCACGTTGGCACGGTGGTGGCCAAGGACTGGGGCAGGTTGATATCGGCACTGCAATCTGGGTAGAGGGCAGCTGTTTGCAATGATCTCCTGCCCCTTTACTATCCTTCCTTCTGTGCAAGCATCCGAGCAGCCTCGTATGCAGGGAAAAGTCGGTCAGGACCTAGACAACAAGTGGTCTAGGTTTAGATGCCAGTCAGTCAGATTACTGTCAGCTGCTTTATTGTTTGTTGTTGTCGTTGTTGTTTAAGCAGCCTCACTGAGATATAATTTGCATGCCATAAAATTCACTCATTTTCAGCGTATAATTAATTTTATTATATTTCTAGTTGGACGACCATCATCACAACCTAATTTTAGAACATTTCCATTACCCTAAAAAAACCCTCATGTCCATTTATAGACATTCTCCATTGTCATTCCCAGCACTAGACAGCCACCAATTTATTTTCTATCTCTTTAGACTTGCCTTTCTTAGATACTTAACATAAATGGTTTCATACAATATGTGTTCTTTTGTGACTGGCTTTTTCCACGGAGTACAATTTTGTAACTCACCCAGGTTGTGGCATGCATCAGGACTTCGTTCTTTTTTATTACCAAATTATATCCCATCGTATGACTATACCGTATTTTGTTTATCCATTTATCAGTGGATGGACATTTAGGTTCCTTCCACTCTTCAGCTACTGTCAAAAATGCTGCCATGAATATTATGTTCAAGTCTTTGTATCAAGGTTATATGTTTTCATTTCTACTGATGATCTTAAGGAAACTGGATTCAAGCACCCTGAGGAAGGAAAGCCTCCCGTCCTCTGTGAAGTTAGGCTTGGGTTTGGCCCCTGCTACTGAGCTGGAGAGGCAGTATCCCCAAGTCCTCTCAGCTATTTCATTTTAGGCACCTAAGGAGCACTCCCAGGATCATTGGGATCACTCCCGGGATCACTCCCTGCTGTCATCAGTCAGCGCAGGGCATCTACAAACAGTCTACACACCTCCTTAATGGGGAAACCTTCTTTTTTACACTCAGGAACAAGACATTTCTATGTAACATTGAACTGGAGGTTCTAGCCAGTTAAAGGCAAGAAAAAGAGTTAAAAATGACAAGGATTGGAAAGGAAGAATCAGAAGTGTTATTCAGAGATGTGGAGAAAACTCAAAATAATTTACAGATAAATTACTGGAATGAGAGGTTAGTGTATGTGGAATCAAAACCAAGGCGTACAACTCAAGTTCTTTTACATGTGCCATCAAAACCCAGCTTTTAAGACTTTTAGAAAAAAGATTACATTGACAATAGTATATAAAAATGAGGTAGCTAGGAATAAGTCCAACCAAAAATGTGTAAGCCCTTCCTGAGGAAAACCGTAATACTTTCTGGAAGGACACTGAAAAAGGCTTCTGCAAGTAGGGAGCTATGCTATGTTTATATATATATGTAGGCCCAATATTGCAAAGATGTCAGTTCTCAAATTGACTTATAGATTCAATTCAATCCCAACCAAAAGCTTAAGAAGTGTTGGTTTTTGTTTGTTTTATTTTCTTCGTTGGTCAGTCAATATGTGGTTTCTAAAGAACAAAGGGCCAAGAATAGTTAGCACACTCCTGAAGAAAAAGAATAAAGTAGGAAACTTGTTCTATTAGGTATCAAGGCTTATAACTAAGCTATATTCTTAAGCCCAAATTGTACCTGTACAGAAATAGGCAAAAACAGACTGGCAGGTGGGAACAGAGAACTTAGAAACAGAACACATATATATGCAAACTTGATCTATGGCAGAGGTGACAAATAACATGGATCGGTGGGTTAAGAGCCTTTTGATAAATGGAGCTGGAAAAACTGCCTATCCAAACAGATATGCAGCCTGGCTGGCTCAGTCTGTATAGCATGCAACTTTTTAAAAAATGTTTGTTTATTTTTGAGAGACAGAGTACAAGCAGAGAAGGGGCAGAGAGAGGAGGAGACACAGAATCCAAAGCAGGTTCCAGGCTCTGAGCTGTCAGCACAGAGCCCGACGCGGGGCTCGAACTCACGAACCGTGAGATCATGGCCTGTGCCGAAGGTGGAGGCTTAACCGACTGACCCACTCAGGCACCCCTGTATAGCATGCAACTCTTAATCTTGGGGCTGTGAGTTCGAGCTCAACATTGGGTACAGAGATTACTTAAAAATAAAACCTATTTTAAAAACCCAACCAAATAGATATGAAATTGGAAATCAATTTGTCATCATCAGCTGCAGCTAAAATTGTGGACATTGTATGATGCAGAAATTCCACTCTGAGGCACACATGCTGGAAAAACTTGCACATTCTCACCAGAGTTTATGTACGAGAATGTTCCCAGCAATATTATATGTAAGATCAAAAGATAAGGGGGAAAATCCAAATGTCCACTAAGAAGAGAATCCACCAGTTAATATATTCACACTACAAACATAATACGAGGGAAAATTAATGCATGCAGCTCTATGAATCAAAACCTCTAAACATACTATGAACAGGAAAAAGTAACAAAATAGTTAATACAGCATGATTTCACCTATATTAACTTAATAAACACATAAAACAATATTGAATTTAAGAAAACTTACATCTGTGGTTAACAGGTAAAAATAAGGGGAGTGATAAACCATCAAATACCCCACCTGCCTTGATGATTGAGGTAGGGGACTGGCTTATGGAGGGTAAGGCATGAAATCAGGTAAAACGCTTCAAATATAGTGGTAACGTTCTATTTCTTGGGTGGTGGGTCTAGAACTTTTTTAAATTGCTGATTCTATACTTTAAACATATTAACATTCCTTTGCATGCATTAAATTAAGTATTTAATAAAATCGTTTGCATACACGCTGTAGAGTCAGGATAGACCCCTATTCAAATCTGATTCAAATGTGGACACAGACACCAAGAAAGTATGAAAAGAGTTATTAATCATATAATAAGGTTTTCCAGGGAGAATAGGGTGATTCCCAAGCGGGCCCAAAAATGACTTGAGAGAAGCGAAAGGTTTGGCTTAAGGTTTTTACGGTGACTGGGGAGGGTGACTTAACAAGCGTCCCCAGCGTGGTGTGTGATGTTCCATAGGCACAAAGGAAAGATCACTTGGACTTTCTTACCAGCTTGCCCATGTGTGGGAGAGGTGGTGACGAGGGAGAGGTGAGGCTTAAAAGATGTCAGTTAGAGTCACATTCTTTGTAACAAAAATATTACAAAACTGTGTAGGAAACAAAAGGGATATCTGCCATTTTGGAAGTAATAGATCTACAGAGGAAGGAATATCACCTCTCCCTTTTAGATACTACTTCTCCCATTCTTCCTCCAGGAATATCCCACTAGAGAAATAACTATGGTCAAAGAAACTTGGCAGAAAAATTTAAAGTCTTTACTATTCCACAGAAGAAATTCAATATCAAGAGGAATTATTATAACAACATAAACTTAGATATCAAGTCTCGTGGAGTGAAAAGAATGAGAATTGCTCACGATGTTTAGAAGTCCTTGGGATTATGCAGGAGTATAAATATCAGCTGCGTCTCTCTGGCACCTGAGCTGAGCCCAAAAGGAACCATTTGCTTTACCACCACAGTAGTAGAGAAATTCTGCAACTCTTAACCCACTGATTGCAAACAAGTACCAGGCTTGAAGCCTTCTCCCCCAGTCAAGTATTTCCTTCCTACTGGAAAGATATAGACAATGAATTATAAGTGTACATCAATTTTTGAGATACCTACTGGGTACCGCTACAGACACAAAGATGAAAAAGATTTGATCTATGCTCTTTAGGGGCTCACAGTTTCTTGTATTACTTTTGTACCCTAAGGTGTAAAAATGTGGATTTTCAGAAAACCTACAGCCAGACTGATGGCTCAAATGATAAAAGAATTCATCAGATTGCTTTCAACATACTTCAGTATTAAAGAATACATGAGAACCATTAGAAACTGTATCTACTGCATGAAAAATGCTCCCAGGAGGAAATATATACATACTTAAAGAAATTCTTAATAAACAGGTTGGGAGTGAATGAGAAGACCCTGAGAGCACAAGTCAGTAGAGCTAACGGTGAAGGGACAGATAGCCAAATTTCTCTGCATTCATAAAGACGAAAAATGTGAGACGGGCAGAGAACAAGGCGAGAGTAAATTTAAACAGCAAGTGTTTGAGCAACTTTTAGGAATAGAACTATATACCCTGAAATTGTAAGCTGTTGGCACAAATGAAATGCAAATCCCTCCATTTCCCCAAACTTCAGTACAGCGTTCTACCTACCCACACACACCCACAAACATTTAGAATAGGGCCCTCTTGGGCAGAGAGAAAGAAGGGCCAAACATCTGGTTTGATCTACAGTATCAGGTGAACACAATTATAATACTGTAAAAATATTTATGTGCCAAATGGTATCCTAACCTCTCTACATACACTAATATATTTAAGTGTTTTAAAGCAATTAATTTCATAATACTCAAGACAAACCTATAAGGTAAACAGTAATATTTTTACCATTTTCTAAGTGAGACACCAAAAGCACAGAGAAGTAATTTGCCCAAGGTCTTAGCAGTAGCTAAGAGACAAAACTGGCTCTCAGCGGCAGCAACAGGGAGAGCAGGTCCCCAAATCCTAACCACAGTTGGAGGATAACAACCCAGCTCCCCCACAACAGGAATGTTGGGAGATGTGGCCGACTGAGGACCACAGATGTGCAGAGGAGAGGGTGTGAGCTGACAGACTCAAGATGACCACCGAACAGAAGTGCAGAGCAAAGGCCCCATGAGCCCAACAGTCTAAACTGATGTCCTCCAGAACAGGGGGCAAATTCTATCATGTGTACCATGGCCCTGCCCTTTTGAGATCACCTAAGGGACACGAAGGAGGAAAGCCCAAGGTCCTACCATTTACCAGATGGGGCTGTTGAAGACCAAGAAGCAAACTGAGCAAACTGCTCAGACAATCTCTACCCAGGACCCCTAACCAGGGTGTCCTCGGGTACATTTTATGCTCTAAGTGCATAAATATATAAATAAAAGTGTGTACATTTAATAGAATTTCTTTTCTTTTTCTTTTTTTTTTTTAAATATTTTTTTATTTATTTCTAGGAGAGAGAGAGACAGCGTGAGCAGGGGAGGGTCATAGAGAGAGGGAGTCACAGACTGAAACAGGC